AGATTTAATCATCATAATCATCAATCAATAATCATTACCATAATCATCAATCAACATAATATTCAATAACAATTAGCGGCCTAGCTTCGGGTATTAACACCCTAACTTACCGTCATGCATCACATAATATTTTATTTGTTAAAAATATTACTTTTAATGTGAAAAATCATTTTTATAATGATCATAATCAATTGGTATCAAAAATAGGATTTTAGAGCTCAAAAATAACAATTTCAGACAAATTTTCGGATCAGAAATTCGGGGGATCGATCCAGGCAGTGTGTTCGATCCACGTAGTGTGATCGATCCAGGTAGTGTGATCGATCGAGGTAGTGTAGTTTCAGGTCACTGTTCATCTTCTTCAACCTTCGGTCCATTTTTCCGGAATACCATTTTTAAGTACTGAACTTTAATTAAATTATATAGAAATGTTCTCCAAGGTTCATAGATCATTCTGGCATCGTTAGTTCATAGTTTTAACATCAATTTCATGGTTTATGATTCTTGGTTCTTCAAGCATGTCAAACACAAAACTCAACCAAACGAGCGTTTATGAACCTTGAAACGATCTATACGAACATTCTAGTCATTAGATATATCTACGGGCTTACCTTGAAACTTATCGAAGGTTTTGAGAATTTTCCGGTGAAACTTCCGGCAATGATAACTCCCAACTCCGTCAACTTCGGCGACCACCAACTACTGCAGCATGTTCTCCTCACTCTCATTAACACTTTGGTACTCAATTCATTAGTTTTTGGTGAAGAATGAGAAGGTTGATGGTGGCTTATATAGGAAGAGAATGAGGAAGGTGACAATATTGCTGCGCAGGATTTGAGTAGGAAAACATATTCGATTGGCTGAGTGGAGTAGGAGGCGCCGTCCCTGATTTGGACTAATTTTGGTCCCCGTCGGGGTACACTTTTTGGTCCAACTTTCTCCGAATTTAATTCCGTTTGCACCGTTGCGATCGGAAAGTTAAACTCTATCCAACGATATAATTTTCATAATTATTTGTAATACTTTTTCTGACATCATATTTTTGGGTGTTTGACTTTAACAGAGTCAATATTGGTTTAATTGACTTTTATCATAAAAGGTTCTCACACTTAATTTATTCTCATGGTTTATTTCAAGAATTTATTTCAAAGTTCATATCACAAAAATATCTTCATTTATCCCTGATTTGGGTCTATACTCTGGTTCCCAATCAAGGTCACACAATAAGTCAATCAGGTTGAATTTATCTCTATAAGATTTATCCGAATTATGATATTGGATATGAGAACATATTTTATTTTGGCCCAAAGCCTAGCAATAATTTATTTTAATCAAAACAAATTTTGTTTAATTGAATATTTAATTCAATAAATTTTAGGGTATATTTTGGGGCGTTACAAAATTTGTCACATCCATCCCAACTATCTCGCCCCATCTGCTGCCAGGATCATATCATATCTAGGGGTGGGCGCGGTCTGTGATGGTCCGTGATACTACCATAACCTATCACGAACCGCTATTATTTAAACGTTTCGGTATCAGTACGGAGTGAACTCCAAAACCATTTGGTACCATTCTGTTTTGAAATGGAACGGTACAATACCATACCCAGGCTCAAACCATGCAAAAAAAAGAATGTACATTACTTAAAGAATATTGAATTTAATGTATAAATTTGTATAAAAATACAAGAATGTTAAATAAAAGTATTGATTTCAAATTTAAACGGATCATAAACATAAAGAATAAAAGATAAAGAGTCTAAAGTTAGAAAATAATTTTTTTCTAACTCATATAATATCGGAATATACCAATAACTATAAAAAATAATTCCAATAGTAATGATAAGTATTATAACAACAATAATAATGAGTGAGTTTAAAAAAGAATAATAAAATACGAGGTACTCTATACACGGTAAGAAGAAGTAGACAAATACTCCATTATCATTTGAAATACGTACTCTGTATATAGCGCTGGAAGGTTCGGTTCGTGATAATTAGTTTTAAATATTTGTATCACGGTCCTATCTCATTTGGTATCGGTTCGGTTCCGGTTCGTGATGAAAAAAATCAATCCCGTTCGAAAACACTATAAACGGTTCGGTACCATTACGGTTCGGTAAGGTACCATGCTAGTTCTGTTTTTTGCCTACCCCTAATCATATCACATCATTCTTTCTATTAACCCGCGTGTAGCAAATAAAAACACTATACGCTCAACGGTAAAGCTGAGTAAGCATATCTAATGCGTCGAACATCCATATAAACTGAATTTAAACTCATAATTAAATCATTAGATATCATGCACACAATGTTCATTTCAGACATTCACAGTTTTGATATTGTTGAGTTCATATCAACACACTTTATTCAATTAAGATATTATTTTGACAGTGCTCTTAAATTATTCTTAATATAAGGCCAAATAACAACTACGCTATTGGCTATTCTCAATCTAAGGCCAGATGATAATAATTGCTCTTAGCTATTCTTAGTCTAAGGCCAGGTCATAACAATGCTCTAAGTTATTCTTAGTCTAAGGCCAGATCTTAATTTCATTCTCAGATGCTTAAACTTTAATTAGTTCAAGGCAACAATTCTCCAACGCTTAAGGATTAGATTGAGTATCCTTATATAGGAGAAGAGAAAGGAAGAAGACACTAGTAGCTGACTCATTTCTACGCCCAAAAGCACGTAGTGGAGGGGGTTGCGCCGATCAGAGATACACGATTCTTTCTCTGATTGGGACTAATTTTAGTCCGAGTCAGGGTACAATTTTATGTCCAACTTTCTCCGAATTGAATTTCAGTTGTAGCGTTGCGATCAGAAAGTCAAATTCTATCTAACAATATAATTTTTATATTTATTTGGAATACTTTTTCAGACATCATATTCAAAGTTCTCATCATAATTCATTTAGTTGACTTTTATTCAAAAAGGTTCTTACATGTAATATTTATTACTTATTCTCATGATTTATTTCAATAAATCATTTCAAAGTTTTCATCATAAATAATTTTTTCATTTATTCTTGATTTGGGTCTGTACTCAGGCTCCCAAAAAGGTCACACAATAAGTCAACTTATTGGATTTATTTCTTTGAGATTTATCCCGTTTGTGATATTATATATCAGAACATATTTCATTTTGACTCAAAGCCCAACATCAATTTATTTTAATCGAAAACAAGTTTTAATCAATCGAATAATTATTTATTAATAAGGTCCCGTTCTTTTGGGTTAGAAAAATTAACTTTCAACTTTTTCCAACTCCTTCTAGTTTCTTCGAAACTCTTTCTATTCATTTCAATTCTTTCAATTTTTTTTCAAGAACAATTAAAAGATATTTTTATATATGATGAATATACAATAACATTATATATATGAATTTATAACATACCACCTCAAACATGAACAAAGATGAATTCTTTTTAATCCAAAACTTCTTTAAAGGTCTTCCAGTTTCTTCCAACTCCTTCTAGTTTCTTCCAATAAAGCCAATAAAGACTAAATAAATGTATCTATATATGATTAATATACAATAACATTATATATCTAAATTTATAATATAACACTTAAAACACGAACAAAATTTATTTGGGTGATTATTCAATTGTGTGTCTTTTTAACACTCTAATTCTTCAAACATTTTCCAACTTCTTCTAGTTTTTTCAAATCTTTTTAGTTTCATCCAACATCTAACTCTGAAATTTTAAACCAAAGGAACAAGATCTAAGTCTTAGTTTTAATTTTGACATATAGCAAGATAATTTCTTTAATTTTGACATAGTAAATTTTCAAAATGGTACTCAATAACTATACGTATTTTCCCAAATTAGTCCCTAAAATTAACTAATTACCGAGATACTACTCGTCAATTGAGAATAATGCTCAGTTAGGTTCCCCGACTAACGATCGTTGAAACATTTTTACAAAATGTTAAACATTATACTAACTTCTCAAAATTGTGCTTTCCAACTCGGTATTTTCAGAAATTGTTCCATTTTTGAAATTTTTTAGGATGAGAATATATAATAATAAAAATTATAAATATAATTTTATAAACTTGAAAGTAAACGATTAAGATTATCTACAATTATTTAGAAGAATATAATACAAATAAAACAAATAAAATGCTTAATAAACATTAAAAAATCACCCTAAATAGGAGTAAAACATAAAGAAAGTATCAAAACAAGAGCTCTTTTTCTCAATGATTACTTCTTTTTTGAACGTTTATCAAACATTTTATTTACATTGTATTCTTCTAAACAATTGTTAGTAATCTAAAACTTTTACTCTCAATATTTACATTTATAGCTTTTAGTATTGTATTCTCATCCTATATTCAATTTAAAGTATATTTCTATGATTAATGTATTTTTATTTTGAGAGTAGACCAATTTGAGAAAATACTTAGTTAAAAAGCACCATTTTGAGAAATTAGTATAAGTTTTAACGTCATTTTTACGATCGTTTTGGAAATTTACTCATTTTGAACAGAAGTGAATTTGGAACAAGAGACTAATTGAGCCTCACCAATGGCAGTGTGGGAGCAACTTCTCAAAAAAAAATAAAATAAAATGAGGGGGCTCCTTGTGCGCAATGACCATTGATCCCAGCCCGTGTTGCCGGTTGAGTAACCATGATTCACATCCTCTCACAAATCTGTCGAGCAGGTGGTGAGGGACACTCGGGGTGAGCAATTTTGCCTTTTGGAACAACATAGTTTCTTGAGTGGGTGTTGAACAACATAGTTTCTTGAGTGGGTGTTTTTCTCTGTTGTTATAAGCTGGTCAAAATTTCTTATAAGTAAGTCTAAGTTACTTATTTTTAAACTAGTTTTTTTGTTTCTTTATTTTGATCAGATTATTTATAAAACTGTTTCTCACCATTTATGAATATTTACAAATGATTTATTATCATTTAAGTTTTTTTACATTCACAAAAAATACTTGATTTATAAGTAATTTATAAATTAAAAAAACTATCTATCAAGGATAAATGAATAAGCACATGCATCACAACACTCCTTGATTTGTGGTAAGATATTTTTTCCACTCATAAAAAGTGTGCACCGAGATTAGTCCAAGAGAAAAAGAGAGCTTGACGCCAAACGCGGCTGCTGTTCTACCGAAAATCGATCCGAAACAATCTTTCTCCTATCCATGGAAGGTAAGCACTCTGATCTCCTTTATGTTTCCATTAATTTTCTCTGCGATGTCCTTGAATATTCAGCGTCTTCAACGCCAACCGGGTTGCACTGCAACAATCCGAACGCACAAAAACTGGCATTAAATAGGTTATTCCTCTTCTACTTCTTTGCCACTCTGTCTTTTTCAAAGATGGCGAGGTCAATTTCCAATCTCAGAGAGGAGAAATGAATTGATTATCAGGCAGGATATGCGCTTGGGCGCAAAAATTTAAAAAAAATTCTTCATTCAGCTTCTGCAGTTCTGCTAGGTTATTTGGAGTTCGACGATGGTAATTTAATTACCTTGACTGGGTTAATGATGATTGTATCTAAGGTGCAATTTTGATCACACGATGCAATTCGGGTTCTTAAACGGAATTTTAAAAAAACGGGTTTGATGTCAGATCATTCCAGAGAAACTATTAGGAAAAAAATATTTCTAATTCTAAAGATTAGTCATTTTGCCATTTTATTGATGTATCTTGCCTAACTGCTAGGCTTAAATAGTTCTCCACCATCTTTGTTCTTGTCTATTTTATGTGAATTGAAATTACTATAAATAGGGCTTTAAATGTTTCTTCTGCATTCAAGCAATATTTTTAAAAGTTGTCTTAGGGTCAGAACCTTTTGTGTCTTTACAATTGCTAATTCTTTGACGTCCTGAGACTTAATTTGGTTTGTCTTTTCAATGCAGGGGATTTATTAGGAGAATGCAAATTGAGGATTTGATTTGAACATAAGATGCACATTTATTCTTGTTGGTACTTAGGATTGCCTTTGAGGACCTTTGCAGGTGTTTTTTGAATAGATGAGACGAGGAGCTATTTGTATTTGAGTTCTTTTTGTAAGTTCATATGCTATGGTTTTTGCAATGGTTGGGTCCTTCAACATGGAGAAGAAGTGGGTGTTACCTTTTGCTATCAGCGCACTCATATGTGTATTTCTTCTTGCCACCTTCTTCAATATGGGCCTGCTCTCTTCAAATTTTACCTATCACATTTCATTAAATCAAACAAGCCCAGGCAATGCTGAAACCAAAATTAAACAACTTATGCCTTCTCCTGTTCCTTCCATTCCGCACTTTGCTTATTTGGTATCCGGATCAAAAGGTGATTTAGAAAAGCTTTGGAGAACATTGCAAGCATTGTATCATCCTCGGAATTACTATGTTGTCCATCTAGACCGTGAGTCATCAGTCGAGGAGAGATTGGAGCTTGCCTACAGAGTAGAAACCGAACCCCTTTTTGTGCAGGCCCGGAATGTCCACATGATTACCAGAGCTAATATGGTTACCTATCGAGGACCTACCATGGTTGCTAACACTCTTCATGCATGTGCAATTCTCCTCAAGAAGCATCAGGATTGGGATTGGTTTATAAATCTCAGTGCTTCAGATTATCCCTTGGTGACTCAAGATGGTTAGTTCCTTTCTTTTTCTTCACCCTTAGTATCCAAAATTTTGCAACATCGAATTTAATTTATCAAGTCAAACTTTGCTCTCTATGATCTGACGTGGCATTTGATATGTTGTGTTTTTGTTCCGTCAGATCTTCTTTCTGCTTTCTCCGATTTAAGGCGAGAGTTGAATTTCATTGAGCACACGAGCCGGTTGGGCTGGAAAGAGTATGTTATCTGTCTCTTTAGTTATCTTTGCTTTTTTTGTCGATCCAAGGTGTCAAAAGCTTTGATCCTATTATTACATACTTTTAACTGGATGATTCTATTGCAGGGGCCAGAGAGCCATGCCTTTAATAGTAGACCCTGGGCTCTATAAGGATACTAAGTCTGATGTGTTTTGGGTCACACCCGGAAGAGCATTACCTACATCCTTCAAACTGTTTACCGGTGAATAAATACATACTGTGATAAGCTGCTATTTTGGTAGAACTCGAGATTGGTGGGAAAATAAATGAAGGATAGTCTTTATCAAATTATGAAATCAGGATCTAACTTCATAAATAACAAAGATGAAGGAAAATCTTTATCAAAATTTTAGCAAGAATCTTAAACGCATATAAGTAATAAAGTCAAGGAGAATCTCCAATAATAAATATTGAATTACTTTTCTGGATAGTTTTACAAATAATGAACCTCAATATTTATAGAAGCCAAATAACTACCAATCCCTATAATTTAGGCCTACTACCACACTACTTAGTTACTATTCCTAGACTTTAGGTTCACTACCACATTACTTAGCAACTACTCCTAGAATTTAGGTCCACTTACACACTATTTACTAAATAACTAACATATATATTAAATAAAACATTTGACCCGATAAACAATAATCCTAACAGACTCTACCATAAATATTAATAACATAAAATAACGGCATATGTGGGCACTCTATCATTATCCCCTCGTTTAAAATTTGCCTTGTCCTCAAGGCAATATCTGGACAGCTTCTCTGTATATCTGGAGGTTTTGGCAGAGGCGGTAGGAAGACAATATAATGAAAAACTCCAATGAAAGCAGTGGTGCTTCGAACAAAAGGGTCCAAACATGACATAACAACTTCAAGGGTAAACCGCTGCATGAAGCCACTATCCAAGAGTTCATGAAGCTTTATCGGTGATGATATAGAATTTCCCAGGATGGTGTTGACACGTATATAAGAGTTTTGTAACCCCAAATTGGAGGCATTCTCATCAGTACTTGGCATAAAAATCATGGCTCCTTCTGTAGCCAATTCTGTTGGTGAGAATGAAGAGGTTTGATAGTGGCTACCAATATTAATCATTCCTTCATATTGGAACAGCCTGGACTCGGATTGCCATTGCCAATTGCTCTCCAAGAGAGATGCTCCAGTCAGATTCATGGAAGGGCAATGTTAGGACAACACCATTGCATTTACAATCAGGGGCCAACTTAGAGTTGCAGTTCTCTTGTCCTCATGCAGGAAATTACTTGTTAGACTAAGGGAATTGAAGTCGTTGGCTGCAAAGGAATTACATTTGGGCTTACAAACAAATGCAATCCTGCCCTTCTGTTTTTGAATTTTCTTTCCTTTCACCTTTAGATGGAATTTACACTTAAGAGATGGAATTTTCTGCCCTTCACATAGTTAACAGCCCTACCGTGAACTTCAGATGCTGCCGGTTTGGAATTAATGACATCAAGGCGAGCTACAATGTAGAAAAATTGGTGTACTTCATAAGGAGAATAAGTGTTAAATGAAAAATTGTATGGGGAAAATGGAGAAACTGAATTTTTCCAGAAGGAACCCAAGATCTTATGGCTCTGATACCAAATGGTAGAACTCGAGATTGGTGGGGAAAATAAATGAAGGATAGTCTTTATCAAATTATGAAATCAGGATCTAACTTCATAAATAATAAAGATGAAGGAAAATCTTTATCAAAATATGAGCAAGAATCTTAAACTCATATAAATAATAAAGCCAAAGAGAATCTCCAATAATAAATATTGAATTACTTTTCTGGATAGTTTTACAAATAATGAACCTCAATATTTATAGAAGCCAAATAACTACCAATCCCTATAAGGCTATAATTTAGGCCCACTACCACACTACTTAGTAACTATTCCTAGACTTTAGGTTCACTACCACATTACTTGGCAACTACTCCTAGAATTTAGGTCCACTTACACACTATTTACTAAGTAACTAACATGTATATAAAATAAAACATTCCTAACAGACTCTACCATAAATATTTATAACATAAAATAACGGCATATGTGGGCACTCTATCATCTTTCTTGATTGGTTTCTCTCGTATAGTATAGGGTCCTAAAGTTATAGTACAATTTACCACTTGCAGGTTCTGCTTGGATGATCCTCTCGCGGGCATTCGTTGATTATTGCGTTGAGGGTTGGGAAAATCTTCCAAGAACCCTACTCATGTATTACACAAATTTTGTCTCTTCACCTGAAGGATACTTTCAAACTGTTGTGTGCAATGCCCCTGAGTTTAAAACAACTGTGGTCAACCATGACATGCATTATATCTCTTGGGATGTTCCTCCAAAGCAGCATCCTCACACCCTCACCTTGAACGATACCCGAAAAATGATCAAAAGTGATGCTCCCTTTGCACGCAAGTTCAATCAAGGTGATCCTGTTTTAGATAAGATAGATAGGAAATTGCTGGGCAGAAATAATGGCAATTTTACCCCGGGTGGCTGGTGTGCTGGTAATCCTCCTTGTTCTGAGCTTGGTGATCCTTTAAGACTTAAACCAGGTCCAGGTACCAAGAGGCTTCGCCGACTCGTAGGAAGACTAGTTTTGTCTGAAAATTTTAGTCAACATCAATGTAATTAGAGCCATAATGTATCACATTCTTCACAATGATTGGTAAGAAAGCAGGTGGATTAGATAGTTTCATTCAAAGAATTTTTATGAAAATAAAATGGGATATACTGTAAGATATATAACATATGTTGCTTTTATTTTTGTTCATATTGAAAGAATTGATTTCATTACTTTTATGCTCCGTACAAAATTCATATTTACTTTGTGGAATATTTGTGTTCTTATTCTTATAGCATAAAAATATGAAAACAAAGAGAATGAACCTAATCCCCAAGGGTCACTCCTGGCCGAATACTTTGTAAGAGGTCAATTGAGCCGGGATCTGAACGTATTGATAATGTGAAGTTTTGTTTACTTTCAGAAATTTTTATCAGCGTATAGAGTTTAGTCCATGTGAGATCTTAACCGGTCTACTTCATGCTATCTTCTCTTGAAACTAAATTATTGTGTACTGTTTTGTTTTATAGTATTGGGTTGAACTAATATTCTAAGAGCCTGTTCTTTAGGGCTTGAAGTTTTAACTTCCAGTTCCTTTTAGATTTTTTCAGTTTCTTCCAGTTTCTTCCAACTATTCTTATTTTCTTCAAACTTTTTCTACTCACCAACCAATTACTCTAAAAACGATATATTTTTAATGTAATTATTTTTATTATTATTATTATTATAATTGTTATGTTCATAACTATAGTTTATAAATTATTCTTTTCATCTCACTATTTTTACGATTTACACTCATTATTTTTTCTTCAACTTTTTAATATGAATAAGACAATTTTTTATATATTAATCTACATGATAAAACATGAAAACATCAACGCATAATAGTCACACATTTTGTGGGGGGTTTACGGCGGGGTGGGGGTGCAGGGGCGGGGTAGGGTGGGGGGTTTAGGGGGTGGGTTAGGGGGGTAGGAACCGTCAATTTTGCGAACTGAGCACTGGAGGTGCCCCAAAATGCCAGTGGCACCGCTAGTGGCACCGTACTCCGGTGTCACTAGAACCCCACCGAAACATCAATATGTTAAACTATATTAAAAAAATTATGGATAAAAGAATGACATAGAATGTTTTATTAATCCAACTTTATATAAGACCTTTTACCTTTCCTTTTATTACTTAAAATTTTCTCATTTTTCTAATTTTTATAAAAAAATTGCAAGTCAGAAAAATTTAAAGAAAAAGACTAAAATAGGAGTAAAACATAAAAATTGTAAAAAGTTCTATGTGTTTATTCTAAAAGTAGGATTTCAATGAAAATAAAATGTCAATCATGAAAGAAAAAATAGGTTTGATTACATTATGTGACATGTCTGATATTTAAAACAAAATCTTGTAATATATAAAGTATAATTACAAATATATTATTTATAATAAATACTGCATAAATAAATCGAGGTGCAACTTAACATAACCACAAAAATTTTTAAAATTTAATTTTTTAATATTTATGCTAACTTTATATTATAAATATTTTTTACAAAAGTAATTTTTTTGTATTTGAAAAATAGCAATACTTTTTTTGTATCTTAAAGGTATTCATATAGATTATGTGATGATGACTAGACTCGTACCCGTGCGATGCACAAGCTATTAATTGACATATAAGTACTCGATGTTTTGAATGAGGAAAAATCTTACAAAAACCTAAAGGATTACATAAATAAAAAGATATTAAGAGAGAGAGAGTTTTGGGAGTGTTATAAGTTTTGGAACATTTCTTTATCAACAACATTCGTAGTTTGGTTACATGAAAGAAGGTCTTTATTGCAAATCAATATTTTCAATCCTTGGCGACTTGTCACACTTGAAATTGCCACATAAAGTTGACCATTACTGAATACAGATTTCTTTAGTAACAATCCAATATGAGACAAAAATTGACCTTGACTTGTTAATTCTCATTGCATTTGGGAATTGTTTCTTTCCACGAATTTATACAAATATGCTCCGTGTGTATATATATAGCTAGGAATGGTAATGCGATAGGAGTGGAGAGTAGTGTCCTTTAAAAGCTTTGGCACATTTATCAAGAAATTTGGAAATCTCTTTTAATGATTTCACTTGTTGCTTGTGGAGTACGAAGTAGCCAATTGCATATAAGAAATCATCCATTATAGCACCACTAACTATTACAAAATACATATATAACACTCACATCCCATTTTGTACTTTTGTAGCACATCCATCTGTATACCCTTTTATAATATTTCAAATTTAACCCTGCGTTGACGACCAGTGTTCTTGGGCAGTTCGTGCCGTTAATCTTGATAACTCCCCCTTATTTCAGATACGCAGGTAAATACTATTTTCTTTAAAAAAATTGACTGCAAACACAATAAACAGACCCGCACTGTGCACTCACTTACACATTCAATCCTGTTAAAACATGTGTGTGTTCCAATCCCGTAAACCGATAACACCCACGCCAACAAACAAACATTTGGCAGTGTGCTCCCCCCATGCTTGCCACACATTTCTGCACTATCACTCATAATACTTCACACACTGCAAACAAACTCACAGCACAATAGCCACACTGCCACTCTGCAGTTAATTCTAAATCTTAGACCATATCTCAACGGAAACATAACAAACAGTTCCGCAGTGTGCACTCATTTCCATATCATTTCAGGTTAACAAACGTATATAGTCCAATTTTTACACCTAATCACATACACAACACAAAAAAAAGGCATTCTAGGAACACCCCCCGCCCCCATGCCTTTCACACAATACTGCCCTAGCATCCCTTACGTTTCCAATATTATCAAACAAAAAAACAATATGAACACAATAAACACTTTTGGCATTCTGCACACACTTTCATACCACTCTGTTCACACACAAGCGCCTTGAATGTTGTTAACTACAAAAACTGTCCCACTAATTAAAGTACAGTACTTCTCACTGCCAAAACCTTTACATTTCCACACCACACTTTTCAGTACACTCACTATGCCCACCAATCATATGACAAATTTCTTTTTTCTAGAAGGTTTGATTCATATCATTCGTGCCATGTTGACTTCCGGGAAGGTGATCACAGACAAGCGACGTCAGCATTTCTAGCCGACCTAGTCCTCCATCGGTATGTAGACGCTACTAGAAATGAACTAGAGGGCATTGCAATGTCATATAGGAAAGCACTACTCGTGAAACAGAGGGCATTGAACAAGTTGTATGGCTCGGATGAAGATTCCTACCAATTACTACCATCCCTGTGCTATATGTTGGAGACGAAAAACCCTGGCTCTTCAATTCAGTTGTCTAGATCCGAAGACCAGAGATTCAAATATTTGTTCTTCTCTTTAGCTCCGTGGAGACAAGCGTGGAATCATTGTGCCCCAGTTCTCGTTATTGACGGGACATTCATGAAATCCTATTACAAAGGAACACTATTAACCGCTTGCTGCTAGGACGCCAATAAACAGCTTGTCCCCATAGCCTTTGGTGTATGTGATGTAGAAGACAAGGACTCATGGTTGTGGTTTCTTACTCATTTGAAAACCACCCTGACCGCAAGGCATGATCTGTATATTGTGTCTGACCGTCACGAGGGAATCATTCATGCTGTTCAAAACGTATTCCCGAATGTAGGACATGGGTTTTGTACTGAACACATTGCCCGAAACATGCGTGTTAAATTCAAAGGTCCGAAAGAAGACCTAACCGGGAAGTTTAGGAAAGCATCACGTGCAGCAACAGAGTTGGAGTGCAAGGAGTATCAACAAATGCTGGATGAGCAAGACCATAGAACACGGGCATACCTGTCCAAAATTGGTCAAACAAGATGGGCACGCTGTAAAAGTGGGCAACACCGGTACTCCGTACTGACTTCAAATGCTGCAGAATCAATGAACAATGTCAACAATTCGGCACGCGAATACCCTATTTGCAAGCTAGTTGATTTCATTCGCGAAAGGATGCAGAAATGGTTTCATGAACGGTTTGAAACAGCTTCATCTACCGCAACCATTCTACCAAGGAAGCTTGAGTCGGAGTTAATAACACTACAACGTGATGCATTCAAGATGAAGGTATACATTCCTTATCCATCGATACAGTATAATTATTTAAGAATAAACATATACTGCAAACACTTCCTAGATTCCATTTAATAGCACACTATTAACATCCCTAATCGCAATAGGTCAAGCCAGCCTGCCCATACGAGTTCGAGGTTGTTGACAGATGGACTCGGACTTTTGTTGTTAACCTCAGAGACAAGTCGTGTACATGCGGGGATTTTTAACTGGACCAATTTGTATGTGTCCACGCCGTAGTAGCAATTGGATCTCGTTCAGGTCTTTCATGTTATAATTTCATCTCAACTTACTACAAACGCGAATCATTGGTAGCCACCTACAGCGGTATTGTGCACACATTAGGAGACAAATCTTCGTGGGACATCCCATCCGCTGTCAAATCCCTTGTTTGCAAGCCCCCATCATGCAACAGACGTCTTCCTGGAAGGCCAAAGCAGAGGAGGCTACCATCCGTTGGTGAATTTCACTTGCCCAAAGGTCGGAAAAAACAGAAGTGCACCCGGTGCTCGAAGGTGGGACACAATATAAAAACATGCAAAAATCCAATACCAACATGACAATGCTTGTAATTTTTTTAAAACGGCTGTGTTTCAGTCTAACACATTCTTTTAATTTCGCTGGATGGTTACACAATTTTTTTGTTGGTGTCATTGTTTTTTATACCCAAGTCGTATGATAAACAACTTCGTTTTTGGAAATGTCCTCCCAATTCATATCGCCTCAAACACAAGTACTTAAAACCCCAGGAAACCTTTTTACTAGCATTAGACACCCAATGGGGATAGTAAACCGGTACACTACCCACAAAACAAACCAACACACACCTCTCTAAAAAATCACACTTCACTGTCTACTACATATTTACACAAATTATAAAAGCTTGACATGACAACACCCTCATGTGTCCAAAATGCACTACCAGCAAACAACTAATAAAAAACCGTTGCAAACATAATAATACGCCAAATACAGCATATATCCGGGACACCAAACAATGTGACTGCATCATGCCTCCTACACTACGATATACGGGGAAAATGTAACAAAAACATACAACACATGGATGTAATGCGATGCTACACTGCCGACTCAAACAATGCTATCACTCCTCCAAACAACTTCACCGACCAAACATATCTTGAACACTGATAAGCCATTACAATGACCAAAATGGCTGTCGTGTACCCCAAAACAATCCATTCCAGCAAAGGAAGAACTCCACTAGCTCTGTGTTCCAACCTAACATTGCTATTACCCGATTCCAATCTAAGCATCAAAATGCCCCAAAACACCACCCCCTCAACTTGTGGAATTGTATATACAATTCACAGATTCCACAAAAAAAACAAATAAAATCCCCTTACCCTGAGACACATTACCTGTAAATGCGCTAAAACCCTAAACTGCCAAAAATTCCAAAATCCAAGGTTACTCTGAATTTAACACTCAAAACATACCCATCAAAAAATGAACCTTGACAAGCAATTACCCAGTCATATATGGTAGGGGTTGTATAGATTGCTTACATACCCAACACATATATCGGCCAAAAGACAAACAACCAGGAATTGTTTCCATAACTTAAATCCAAATACACACTGCAACACATCCCACACTACCAACCACATCATTAGAATTGTGACAGTTCATTTTCAGTAGCAACCATCCCCCATTGTAAACGTGACACATGCTCACATATATCAAATTATGAGCAGCAACAATGAATGTGCTACCCCAACTCACACTGCCATGCAAACAACACTCAAATAAAGGAAACTAATGAACCACCAGCGCAAACTAAACCCATCAATGGAAAACGAATTACCAATAACACAATCATACATTGCCAAAAGTCAAGTAACATCCACACTCCACCATGAAATGTTGTTGTACCAGAACAGGGACAACACATCACATTGTCTGACCGAATAAATTTCAAAAAAACAAACTCCTAAACGAAATCACACTAATACCATACCCACAGTCACCAAAAAAACAACAACATACTTCAAATGTATGCATAATACATACAAAAAAACTGCCACCCCCTCCCCAAAAAAAGATGTCTAGGTCATGCAACAACACGCCAATTGAAGGCCAACGTTGCCTCCTCCATAGGTAAGTCTAATTTTTCGCCTTACCAATTCCCTTCCTAAATCCACCGCCGTAGCCATGAACTTTGGATTTTTACCAAGAGAATGACTACCAAGTAGACCAAGGAATTTTATGGTGTAAGGAAAAGTTCGAGATGTTCCTTCCATAATGTGAGAATGTGAAATGCTCTAGCCACAATCGTGATATATATAGGCTCTGAAAACCTGACCTTTGAAAATGGGTAGTTATCCTCCGTCAAAATTTGTACAGCAAAGATGGATTTGATTTACCTACAGATGAGGACGTGCTCGTTAATGCTATAGTCTGCTTATGATATGACATATTGAGACTCATGAACAGTTATATTCGCTGTCCTGAAATACGTTCCAATCTGAGACGAAAAGTCAAAATGGCTAATGCCTTAAGAAAACGACCATTTAAGTAACTTGAAAGCTTACGACGTATGAATTGATATACCTTCCAAGTTTTCAAGTATGCCTATCGTGAACCTTCTATGAAGGATATTGAAGAACTTTTCAATCAAGAAAAGAAATTCCGTTGAGCAATGACGTGCAAACGAGACTCGTGATTGAATGAAGTTATGTATATGTCAAGTATGCAATACTATACACTACGAAGGAACTTTTGTCATCAATACCAAAGGATCAGTGAAGACCTTGCTTAATCGAAAATTTTTAATCTCTCAAAGATTGAGCGAGTTTGGTGACATCAACGATTTGAGAATGCGTATCTATGAGACGTAACCATGTGGATATGATGCAATCATGATTAGATATGAATGCAACAAGATGTTCATTGTGGACCTTAGCAGAATTTCGAGGACGAAATTCTTTTAAGGGGGGTAGAAATGTAACGCCCCAAAACATACCTTAGAATTATTAATAGATAATTATTAAAATAAATCAAATTTGTTTTGATTAAAATAAATTGTTATGGGCTTTGGGCCGACAAAAATATGTTTTGATATCCCATATCATAATCAGGATAAATCTCATAGAGATAAATCTAATTTATTGACTATTTGTGTGGTATTGATTGGGAACCTGAGTACAGACCCAAATCAAGAATAAATAAAGAAATTAATTATGATGTGAACATTAAAATGATTTATTGAAATAAATGATGAGAATAATTAATATGAATTAAATATGAGAACCTTTTTTAAATAAAGGTCAACTGAATCAATTTTTACTCTATCAAAGTCAACCACCCAAAAATATGATGTCGGAAAAAGTATTACAAATAATTATGAAAAGTATATCGTTGAATAGAATTCGACTGTCTGATCGCAACGGTGCGAACGGATTTCAATTCAGAGAAAGTTGGACCAAAAAGTGTACCCCGACTGGAACCAAAATTGGTCCCAATCAGAGAACTGTTCAGTCGGCGCCTCCGAACGCACTAGCCGATCAATTATCATCATCTTGCGTCTTCTTCTTCCTCACCACTCTATATAAGAAAACCCAACTCACTCAATTCTTCACCATTTCTCACAAAACTTCTTCCTATTCTGTTGCTCTAAGTAAGGAGAACGCAGTGGTGTCGTCAATTTGGTGAGAGGTCGCCGGAGTTGGGACTAATCGTCGCCGGAAGTTTCGCCGGAAAATTTCCAAAACCTCCGTTAAGCTTCGAAGTAAGCCCGTAGATATATCTAATGACTAGAATGTTTATATAGGTCGTTTCTACGTTCATAAATGGTCATTTGGTTGAGTTTTGTGTTTGACATGCTTGAAGAACTAAGAATCATAAACCATGAAATTGATGTTAAAATTATGAATTAATGATGCTAAAATGATCTATGAACCTTAGAGAACATTTTTATATACTTTAATTGAAGTTTGGTGAGTAAAAGTGACATTTCCGCAAGTTGGCTTGAGGTAGAAGACGATGGATAATCGATTATCAACTTGAAAATCGATTATTCATCGTTCTGCAGATTTTTGTAACAAAGCTGAGCAACAGTCGATTATCAGAATGTGATAATCGATTGTCAGCCCTCTCTGAAGTTTGGTAATCGATTATCAGAGTGTGATACTCGATTATCAGCCCATTCTGAACATCAGACAGTAGATTATCAGAAGTGACAGTAGACTGTCACCCTACACTATTGAAGAAAATGAAGCTAATAGCTAATAATTGAATTTCCTATCATATATTAATCAATTGTTATTTAGATACCAAACCATTATGATTAATAAAAGGATGATTTCTTGGAATAAAGATGGTATTTTAACAACTAAAAGGGATCTTATGTGATGCATGACGGTAAGCTAGGGTGTTAACACTCGATGCTAGGCCGCCGATTGTTATTAGTTATTATGATGATTGATTGATTGTTCATTTTTATGAATATTATGGATTAATGATGATGAATATTCTGGATGAAATTATTGTTGAACTAAGAGTATGAATTGATGAATAATGTTGTTAAGGATATCTAGAAGAACTTTAAGATATACCTATTAGCTAATTAATGTTAAGACTATCTAGAAGACCTCTAGAATAGATCTTAGAATGAACTTATGAAAACATGAATAGTTGATGGATTAGATATAAATTCATAAACGGGATTCGTAGACCAAACTAGAGGATTACTCGTTGGGAATGCCCGATCTATTGTTGACCAATCGCTATATTGTTGTTGCCTTAACTGACTACAGTTAAGTGTCCGAAATCATTTGCCTTAAACTAATGATAGTTTAAGTGTCTGATTGCCTTAACTGACTACAGTTAAGTGTCCGAAATCAATTGCCTTAAACTAATGATAGTTTAAGTGTCTGATTAATAATTGCCTTTTAAGAATGTGATTATGGAAATTATGATTTGGCCTTAGACTAAGAATAGCTAAGAGC